ACACACACACACACACACACACACACACACACACACACACACACACACACCCCACGCCATACACAAGACATTGAAAGGGAGGCTTGCTGCATCCCTGCCCCCTGGTAGCTACTTTAAACTTGGGAGAGTTAGAAATTTTCCAAACCCTTTGTTTTATGTACCAACGAGGTGATTCTTATGGTTCCTAACAAGTGTCTAACCCAGTCAAGTTCTTTCTTTTTCCCCAGCTTGACTGACATATAATTGACATACAACATTGTGTAAGTTTAATGTATACAATGTGATGGTTGCCAGTCAAATTCTTAAGCTACTCTTGTGTTCTGACCCAAGAACTAAAGTTGTTTTTTTTTTCCTGAACTATTAGAAATGTGAACTTGGAAAAGAGGGAAAATCACTTTGATTTAAAGAGCAAGAGACAAACTTCTCAGTCAAGTAAACAGTCAAACCCATCAATACTTGTAACTTATCCATTCGGAACTTGGAAATGACCCTCACCTCAGATAGGATGAAGCCTCTGCCCTTCTGTGAGAACAGGATGGAAATGCCTATGTTAAGAGTTCCAAAAAATAAAATGAAAAATACACATAAGACAAGGCCTAGATACATCTAGTTTAAGATCTTCTAAAATTGCCACATTTTCCTTCATAAGCCCTTTCTATCCTTGAGGAAGGAAAAGATTACTTTGAAGGTTTATCTCAGTGGAAATTACAGGTAGTTTTAGTTTTGCATGAGTCAGTTGTGGATAAATTTGGCCAAGCTCAAAGACAAAATGCCTTAATTTGCACTTAAATGAAAAAAATCACAAGTGACCATTTGATTTGACTTTCAATTGCTTCCCTGATTAGATACGAACATTTGCAAACTGAAATATTATCTGCACCTGCCATGTATTATATTCCTCTGATTTGTCATTGGAGTAGGTGGCCACAGCAAAGGAAGGACCTGCTGACTACCACATCTGTTTTTCAAGTCTGTGTGGGGAAAAAGGTCTCCATACTCTTTCTTTAAAAGCATAACTTCTGCCATTTTCTAACAGTGTTTACCATCTTCCCTGCCCTCATCCATTTAAAACACTGAGTGTACACATTTGAGATCCCTGGTTAAGAAACAAATACATATTTGTTCAAATATGAACTTAGTAGAAAGTATATTGACAAATTCATCTTACTGCTATTGAAATAGTACTCAGAGGATGAAATAAGCACTCTTAGAATCCTCTGTATCAGAGATCATAAACAATGGACAGTAGCACAGAAGGAAGAATGTTTATGTTTCTTCCTGCTGTGTGTCCTTTATCCTCGCTATAGCTGTTCTTTATCTGTGACTCCATTATCCTGTATTCAGAAGAAATGAGCCGTTGTCACACTTCTCTCATCTTTAAGACTATTACTTTGAACAGTTTTGACCCTCCTATGAAAATGGTCACACATGTACTAGAAATTTCTGTCCCAACTGATGAAAAAAAAGAAAACTGGCCCAAGGCTCTTAGACTGCAATTTCTTTTTTTTCTTTTTTTTTTTTACATTTTTTAATATATTTTTATTGTAAATACTCCCTCAAAAGCAATCCAGGACACTGTCATTTAAGAAATCAACAAAATTAAGACTGCAATTTCTGACTGGTTCTCTGAGTTTAAGGGCCCAGGAGTAGAAATTGGCCAGAGGTGGTTCCTAGCTAACTCTAAAAGACCGTAGTCTGCAAAGACCCTTCTCTCTGCATTCTTACCCGTGCACATACCAGTAAAAGGTTTGTAGCTGGGACGAGGTACCAAAAAAGAGAGGGATTAAAAGCAGAGAAGACAGTCTGGGTAGGAAACATGAAATCAAGTAAGTTTGGTCAAAGGTGATTTTTTCAATAAAATTATTATAATTGTCTCCATATATGTAAGCCCTTTGATTTTTCTTTGAAAATTTCCTTCATGGCAGAAGTAGCCAAAGTCATCATTCTTGGAGGTAAAGTAGCAATTACATTCATCAAACAGTTCTGCTGCCCTGCTTACCCTAGAGGGCTGGAGAAGGCAAGACCCCCTGTCCTCATTCTGTGCTCTCTGCCCTTAGCCCTGACAGCTGCAGCCGGAAGGGGCAAACTGGAGGTGTGTCGTCTACTCCTGGAACAGGGGGCAGCAGTGGCCCAGCCAAACCGCCGAGGGGCAGTGCCCTTATTCAGCACTGTTCGCCAAGGCCACTGGCAGGTAAGCAGGTAGCTACTCCCAGTGCCCCAGGCAGGGGTGAGTTCTGGGTGGGAACTTCTTTTTTTTTTTTAACATCTTTATTGGAGTATAATTGCTTTACAATGGTGTGTTAGTTTCTGCTTTATAACAAAGTGAATCAGTTATACATATACATATATCCCCATATCTCCTCCCTCTTGCATCTCCCTTCCTCCCACCCTCCCTATCCCACCCCTCTAGGTGGTCACAAGCGACCTAGCTGATCTCCCTGTGCTATGCGGCAGCTTCCCACTAGCTATCTATTTTACGTTTGGTTGTGTATATATGTCCATGCCACTCTCTCACTTTGTCACAGCTTACCCTTGCCCCTCCCCATATCCTCAAGTCCATGCTCTAGTAGGTCTGTGTCTTTATTCCCATCTTACCCCTAGGTTCTTCATGACCATTTTTTTTTTTTAAGATTCCATATATATGCGTTAGCATACGGTATTTGTTTTTCTCTTTCTGACTTACTCCACTCTGTATGACAGACTCTAGGTCCATCCGCCTCACTACAAATAACTCAATTTCGTTTCTTTTTATGGCTAATATTCCATTGTATATATGTGCCACATCTTCTTTACCCATTCATCTGTTGATGGACACTTAGGTTGCTTCCATGTCCTGGCTATTGTAAATAGAGCTGCAATGAACATTTTGGTACATGACTCTTTTTGAATTATGGTTTTCTCAGGGTATATGCCCAGTAGTGGGATTGCTGGGTCGTATGGTAGTTCTATTTTTAGTTTTTTAAGGAACCTCCATACTGTTCTCCATAGTGGCTATATCAATTTCCATTCAGGGGTGGGAACTTCTCAAGCAGAGAGCAAAAAAAAATCACAAAATTTGGGTTATCCAGCAGTCACTGGGTTTGAAGACTTGGGCCTCTGTTATTAATATTCTGGTTAATTGAGAATACGTCAGAAAATTAACATTCATACATTCTGTATAATACAGATCATTCCTGATGATCTGTATCGTATAGAAGGGCTAGCTACTTTTGGCCTGGTGGTGCAGCGACCTCCTTCTCACACTTCACAACATCCCCAGGGTCTCTGGAAGCTTCAAACCTCAACAGATCCCTGCTAACCACTTACAGCAGGTGTGCCTCAGACTTGTAAAAAGAAAATGTGGTGTATGTAAATTCTAGTTATGTGATCTTTCCAGATGTTTGGATTCTGGATAAATGCTAATTTATATATTTAGGATGGAAAAAAAAGTATATTGGTTATAATCTTTGAAAATGTTTAAGTAGGAAAAAAGTCCTAGGAGCCAAACAGTGCTAAAGAGTTATCAGAGGCTGTATTCTGTATTTACTGTATTCTGTTCAGTTGTAAATATTCACTGCAGGCAGGTTTGCAACCCCTGGAGGCCAGTAAAATGGCACTGACATAGGTGTTGGTGCTTCCATCACGAGGTTGTTTAGTCTACATCTTGGCCTTTGTTATCTTGAATTCTTTTTTACTGAGTGGCTGAGTCGGACATTTAGAGTTGAGTTCTTCTCATTTGGCTGTCCCTGAGACAGTCAGAGATCAAATCCCATGGTACTAGACCACGCAGGGGGTTCTTGCAGTGGAAAGTTTCTTTAGAGGTGACTCGCAGGGAGTTCTCACAGTGTGGGGGAGGGCGTGCGTGTGTCTGCTCAGCAGTGCTTCCTGGCTGATTGGTCCCTGCTTCTCTGCACCTGCAGATTGTTGATCTTTTACTCACCCATGGAGCTGATGTCAACATGGCAGACAAGCAGGGCCGTACTCCCCTGATGATGGCAGCTTCCGAAGGCCACCTGGGAACTGTGGACTTTCTCCTTGCTCAAGGTCAGTCCTACGATGCCAGAGCTCGATGATCAGTGCCCATAACAACCCAAGGGACTCATGATTTCCAGGGATGGATTCCAAGAGGAGTTGAGAATGGATATTCTTAAGCCAGTTGGTTAGAAAATGAAAGTCCGTCTCCTCTCTTCTCATATACAGTGGGACCCTTCTAATTCTGACATTGTCTATTTCTTTATGGCTTGAGGGGTTTTTGGTATCCTAATCAAATTTACATAATCTAAGCTCTTTAATCTCCCAACTTTGATTTTTTTTTAATGTACACTCAATAAATGTTCATCTTCCAGGGATCGTATTTTGACTTTATCAATTCTTTTGTAAGCCTGCACAACTAATATTTTTCTTGTATCCTAAGGAGGCAAATGGAAGTTGAAATGATTGTTGACCATGGGACCATATTTGAGGAATCAGGGTATTATTACCCTCCTATTGTAATAAATTCCTTTTGACATTTACCAACATTCATATATTCCTGGTGAATGGGAAATAAGTTAAAGGAGATTGTGGTCATACTATCCAAAGCATACCCTTCAATGGCTCCTACCTCAGTCATCTATACAGAATAATAGTGAGTGACAGGGGAACTCTAGAAAAGCTCCAGTCACTGGTGACTCTGCAGTACCATCTAGTAGAGCTTGAGCATTTGCATCAAGCAGGAGGTGGTGTGACTGTGACCAGCTCTTACTCCATTCCAACAAGCCTCCCCTATGAGTAAACGGGATCTTCTCATCTATAATTAATATCCACAAGTACACACACTTCAAGAAAAACAAGCTCCTGCAAATCATGCCCAGGCTGGAGCAGCTGAAGGGTAGTTGATTTAAGAAGAAGACAAGGTTTCTTCTAAGATTTCAAACTACAACTCAGTCAGAGACTTACTGGATCTTTAGCTCTCTCCTGCAAAGATTTGTTTCCACAACCTTAGACTCACAAAACTGGGTCAGAATCAGAGAACTGTTTTCCCCGTGTACAGAGTGGTTCTTGCTTCCCCAGTACAAGCCACCAAACAAATCTGGTTTCATGGTATCTATCCTTCTGCTAAGAGGGGGCTGGAGGAGCAAGGGAGATACGCCTATAGCTCCTCAGGATAAAACATGGCAGGAGTACATGTCCCAGAACAACCTGAGTCTACTGGAAAAGGTAGGACCCCTTCACCACCGATAAGCTGTAGATGACTGCACACAGTCTGCTCATCAGACACAGATCCCAGACATTTGTTCCCTTTACGCTGCAGGCATTCTGGTCTCTGGTCCTCGGTCTTTGTACCGTTTCACTCTTTCACACTTAAATCAGAGACTTCCTCTCAATCAACAAATCCTACCCAAGTTTATTTAGCCTACGTTACCCGCAAAACACTATGCTAGGAACTGAGTGAGTTTTTAAAATAAATACACTACAATCCATGTCTTCAAAGGGTCTATAATCTGGCAAGGAGGGGATAAAACAAAGATAAGGAACTACCTTAAAAAGCAGAGAATCCTAAGTACTCTGTTGATAAAGGTATTTGAGTTAGAACAGGACAGACTTTGAAATTTGAATAGGAAAAATGTTCTATATTCAGGGAGAGGACGTAATGTAAATGAAAGGTCAGAGAGGAGAAACAGTACACAGCAGGTTTGGGGAAATACGCAAGTTGTCCAGTGACGTACATGAGGACTGTTGGGAAATAAAATTGGAAATGTATGTGGAAAGGAATTGAAAAGGAGCAGATTAAAAGAGTTTGGACTTATCTGAAGGCAGTAGGGAGCCTTTCAAGATTTTTAAAAAGGGAATCAGTGCCAGAGTTGCACTTTAAAAAAAAAAAAGACAAATCACTTTGGCTGTAGTGTGAATAGTAGAGTTGATGAAGGGATTATAGTGGACCTGGGGATCAATTAGGAAGCCATTGTCATTGAGTAGATGAGAGGTAGTGCCGAATCCAGGTGCAGTAGCTGTTAGAACAGGAGGGCCAAGTGCAAAAAAGATTTTGGATATAAGGGTTGATTACATGCAGGTCGTAAGGATAGAAGAGTTGACGGTAACTCCAAAGTTCTAAAATGGATGTTTGGGAGAGCTGTGATTCTGTTAACTGCCCCGAGAAGATAAGAGAGAAGAGGAAGATTTCAAATTGAATTTTCGGAGGAAATTGAATATCCGGGTTTTTCTCATATGTATCTCCTTTTAATTTCTTAAATTCCAGCTTCCCTTATCTTTGTAAAATCAGTTTATCTGTAACATACATCCAGAACCTTCTTATCCTGCTTTTTCCACCCCTGAAGACTCTGTCCAGGAAATTTATAGATATTGCATCTGAGAAAACTCCTTAGATTCCGTCCCACATCCAGATTCATTCCATGTTAGAGTCAGTGTTTTAGTTGCAAACTACACCGTTGTGAAAAGATAACCCACTACATGGATGGCGCTCCTCAGGGTTAGAAGTATCGTACTTTCCAACCCTTCATCCTGTTACTGGAAGCCACAAAGTCTGGTTGTCTGACCTCTAGGAATACAGAGGTGATAGGCCATATATCTGCTGAGTAGCCCCAGAGCCTGGCTGTGGCAGGTCCTGAGCTTGATCTGACATCTGAATCCTGTCCAGCTGAGGAGGCAGCCTGGAAAATGTACTGTGTGTGCAGTAAGTTGATCTCTAATTTAGTTAGTGAGCATGTCATGCCAACTGTGTGGAAAGAGTCATCTTAGGTCTCTTCATAACTAGCAAGGGAACGACAGGCTCTTTGCCATCCAAGAGCTTACAGTCTAGGCTGAGAACCAAACGTATATTGAATTTTAGACTAATTACAAAAACAGTATGTCAAGTGTGCTTGCTCCTCACAGGTGAAAATAGAAATGTTGAAGGGTAGAAGATGCAGAATATAAAATAGGCTAAAAGAGTGGGGATGGGGTTGTTGAAGGCTGACTAGTTTAATTAAACTCCTGATTTCCTTCCTGGCCTGGGCTCAGTCTCTTCCCATGAGTCCGTTTCCCTCCCATTCTAAGGTGGGAGAAGGTGGCCTAGTACTATCATCAATTATAAACATGTTCTGAGCTCCTTATTTTATGAGAACCTCTCAAGGAGTTTATACCATTAGAAATCGAAGATTTTTGCCAAGTTCAGAAAACATGCACTGAGAATTTATTACGAATAAGTGGGATACATTAAAAAAAAGATTAATAACAGAATAAGATGACATATGTCAAGCAGGTTCAAGATGAGGTAACAGTGAATGCGAGAAGCTTTTTGGAGACAGGGAGGGGTTTTTTTTTGTTTTTGGGTTTTTTTTTTTTTTGCGGTACGCGGGCCTCTCACTGTTGTGGCCTCTCCCGTTGTGGAGCACAGGCTCCGGATGCACAGGCTCAGCGGCCATGGCTCACGGGCCCAGCCGCTCCGTGGCATGTGGGATCCTCCCGGACCGGGGCACGAACCCGCGTCCCCTGCATCAGGAGGTGGACTCTCAACCACTGCGCCACCAGGGAAGCCCCGACAGGGAGGTTTGAGATGGTTCCTAGAGAACAGGTAGAAGTGAGGTAAGTCATGGGGAGATAAAAGGTATCCACACATGGGGGCAGCATGACCGGAAGTGTGGATACAGGAGTACTTGTGGGAGATTCTAGAGGTGGTGAGCACATCCATTTTGGGCAAAGTTGAGGATTCTCACAGAGGAGTAATGAAACTTAAGGATAAACAGTAAGCTTGGGGAGAGATTATGCACAACCCAGGATAGGCTGCCCTGTCAAAGAACTGGACTCTTGTACTGACAGCTTGTGGGAGCAGTTTGGTTAAGTTTTATCAAAAGACAACTCACATCCCAGAAACATAAGCTGTGCTTTGGCCGAGCGTACACCTTAAATACCAGCTTTCCCTCCTGTGAATTTTCATGTTTTTCATGTTTCCTCAGCCCTGTATTATGCCTGCTCTTGTAGGTGCCTCCATTGCACTAATGGACAAAGAAGGATTAACAGCCCTCAGCTGGGCTTGTTTGAAGGGTCATCTCTCAGTAGTACGTTCTCTGGTGGATAATGGAGCTGCCACAGACCATGCTGACAAGAATGGCCGCACCCCACTGGATCTGGCGGCTTTCTATGGTGATGCTGAGGTGGTGAGTGCCTTTAACCAAGCCTCAGGGTGGTAAGAATAGGGAAGGTTCTCTATCCACAGTGTTATCTGGGGTTGATGATTCCTGATATAAAGTTCTCAGATCTGTACTTGCTCAAGGGCGGGAACATTGAAAACACTGTTAAAGACCAGGAGCATAGGTCTGGCCTGGAATACCATGACTGTCCAGGCTGGTTCAAACCAGTAGTTGAATAAAGGGCAGGCAGCAGCCAGAGCCCTGAGTGGAGCAGTGTGGCTGTTACACCCGGGTTAACTGCACTGCTTTGTCCGTGTCCTAGGTCCAGTTCCTGGTGGATCACGGGGCCATGATCGAGCACGTTGACTACAGCGGAATGCGCCCTTTGGACAGGGCAGTGGGGTGCCGGAACACTTCTGTTGTTGTCACTCTTCTGAAGAAAGGAGCCAAGATAGGTAGGAAAAAGGAAGAAGGTGCTGGCCATCTGTGCCCAGGGGCCAGACTGGTCCGGCGATCTGGCTGCCCTGGGTGTGTGGTGTGCGTGTATGTAGTTTCCCCTCTGCCCTGGCCCAGTTATTGTCCAAGTGAACAGAAAGACTCTTGGCCCAGAGAAAGCACCATCTGAGCCATGGTCTACACTACCCTGTGTCCAAAATCACACGGTTATCTGCCGTGCCCCGAGTAGCCTTAGCCAGGAGGCTGCTCTGACCTTAAGCACATCTCAGCGCTGATGCCTCGGTAGCAGCCCCGCCCTGTGAGCATCCTGGATCCCTGCACTGCCACAGCCTTCGCTTTCCCTTGCTCTGTATGTGCTTTGGACTCTCAAGTCCCTGCGGCTGCTGTCCCATCCGCTCCCTGTCCCTCAGACCTGTAGACAAGGGTTGGCTGATATGCTGGCTTTTTTGCTGCCTGCCTCTCACTGCTGCTTTTTCCTTCTTTTTTTTTTTTTTTTTTTTTTTTTCACCTTCATCCATTTTTTTTTCTTCTCCTACAACTTTTTGTTTTCTCCTTTCTTTGAAGGTTGTCAGACGTTACCGAGTCGCCCACGAGGTATATTTCACCGCTGTCAGCATCAGGCGTGGTCTGATGGCTTGGTCAGCTTTGCCTTCTCCTCTTTGATGTAGCCTGCATGAGTTCCCTACA